ATTCCGCAAGAAGACAGTTAGTTTCAGCAGCACGACATCTGGCAGCTACAAGACTGCACGCGAATATGACAGTGACAATCGGGCCACTGATACCGACTACTTTTCTCCAGACGAAGATGATGATGAGTTCTTTGATCTCTCACCTGAAGATGGGTAGGCATTCATACGATTTTTGCTTCTTTATTATTATTATTTTTTTAGTTATCTTGAATAGGATTTTGTTATATAAGATAACTCAGACTAATTGAAAGTTGAGACAAAAATACTAGTATGTATTTTTTTTTTTTTTTTTTTCCAATGTAACACCATTAACAGTGCAGGAAAATAAATGTTATAAATATCAGATTGATATAATCATTTCTTATATCAGATTAATATAGTTTCTCATTTCTTCTTCTTTAATGCCAATCAGTTCAATGCCGATTTCATATGGAGACTCCTATGCATCACCTACCGACATCGAACGAATATCCCCAGTGTCTCAGGAATATGATGAAGATTTCCAGCATTTCTTGCATAAGATAGACCAACTCCTAGATGGGGGGATTGAAGATCAATCAGAAGCATACACTATGCTGAAGAATAAGGAACATGAGGTAGGTATATGCATAGTCAGTCAATGTTCTTTTTGGTATTTTTATATATTTCCTCAAGAAAAAGGGTGATTATTGTAAAGATTAGGACATATGTGTAAGAAAGTTAATACTGTAAAAGCAGGACTGTTTGTTTATTAAAAAGAAAAAAAAATGATCATCAAAATATAAGTATAAGGTATTTTCTTTTTACCAAATCAGAATTCAAGAAACACTGAATATCTGTGGCGGTTAGCAAAGGCAACAAGAAATATGGCAGTGATTCAAGAGAAGCTTGGTGTTAAAGAAGAAAAGGAACAATTAATTAATGAAGGTATTAATGTCTCCAGTCATTTCTTATAAAGTGAAAAGCCACAATTGTTTTAATAACATTTTAAAGCTTTGTTACTTGAAAAAAAAAAAAAAAAATATATATATATAATGATGGTCCATTTTCACTACATAACCATATTTTATGGATGTTTTCTTCTAGCTTTTGAATATGCAGCATCTGCACTCCAGTTTTGTCAAGATAGTGCCGATGTCCACAAGTGGTATGCTATCTTGGCGGGTGCGAGAGGGGAGTACATGGGGATGAAGGATCGCATTGAAAGCGGAAATGTGTTTAAGGAACACATTGACAAAGCTCTGCAGATCAATCCAAAGGACTCGACCTTGCATCACCTGTTGGGTCGTTTCTGTTTTGAGGTGAGCACGTGGAAGTTATTAACCACTTCCCACCGGGTAGCATGTAAGTACATGCCATGGCTGTTTTAAACCACTTAGTGGATGGCATCACATTATGACCTTTCCCACATCGTCAGCTCAGCGGATGGAACTTATTTTTTCTGAGAGTAATAGCATCTTTTCTATGGTGAAACTTTTAGGCAATAGCACCTAAAGTGAAGGTAAACCTTCACAGATTAATTTATTCTTAAATCATATTAAAATATTAGTTTGTAGGTGCCTAATGTTGCCTGCAAACTGCTGAATGAGCCCATTGCAAACTAGGAAAACTGTCGATGGGGGTTAACCCGGCATTAATGGGTTAACATAGGATGGAATGAGGGGGAGGGTTTGGATGTGCTGTTACTGTTTGTTAGCTTTGTATTAGAAGAAAGGGTTATGCTTTGAAATTCAGTAATTGCTGGTTTGCATACTCTGGAAAAGTGTTATATATTATAAATGTGTTTATCTAATAGTTATGTAAAATTTATGTTATTGTGATTATTTTTTCCTCCTATATAAAGTATTTGTAAATAATGACAAAACAATATGGTGAATGAGAAATGTATGACTTAAATAGTTAGGTAACTAAACTACAATAAATGTATTTGTTTCTCACCTGTTAAAGATATTATTCATTTATATACAGCAAAATATTTTTAATGACTGTATGCAGTATTTCATCTTACAATTGCATGTAACAATTTCACTTTTTTAGCTTGTCATGAGCACACTGAAAACTATTTCAGGTATCTCAGCTCACCTGGATAGAGAGAAAGGTGGCAAAAACCATTTTTGGCAATGTCCCTTCCTCCACATTCAGTGAGGCCTTGCATCATTTCATGGCAGCGGAGGAACTGAGACCAACGGGCTGGAAGGAAAACCGCCTCTTTATAGCAAAATGCAACATACAGTTAGGGAATTTTTCTGTGGCTTCTACTTGGCTCAAGCAAGCAGCAGACTCCCCATTTATTACACCAGAAGTAAGTAGTTTCATTGGAATAATGGGTTGCATGGTACTTATATTTTTGAATAGGCTTCCAATATTAAAAAAAAACTTTTGTGATGCTCAAATGATTATTAAGTATTTGAATGACATATGATTATTCAGTTAGTCTTCCAATATTCTTTTATCAACCTTTTCATGTGGTAGTACTCCCTCCCAAAACCTAGCTTGTCATTGTGTGGAGGGCTTAGGAAATGGAGACTGAGACCCAGTGTAGAGGATTACTCCTACCTTGGGCCTCAGCCCTTGCCTCAACTAATTTTGCTTGGACCTTTCTTCTCTTCTTTCTTCTTACTTATGTTCTTTATTCCCTTCTTCTATCCCTTTCCTAAGGTGTGAGAGCTGTGCTGAAAGGATGAAAGGTTGGCTTTGTGTCAGTCACGAATGGCCTCTGGGAGCCATGGGCACGGTATTCTCTTGGTTAATTACCTAGCCTTTACCCCTTATGGGGACCCTGAGGGTTGGACTGTTCCTTTTCCCCAAGTTTATTCAGGCTCACCATGGCCAGTAATGAAGATTCTTTACCCTTAATAGAGGCATTAAGGCTTGCCCGTTCATCAGATAGCCTATCTGAATTTGATTTTGATGGTTTTCTGACCCCTGCCCCTCCTTTGACCATGGCTCCGACCACTGATGCCAATACTCCCTCTTCGACGCTTACGAACAACTCTAACCATTCTGAAACACCCACCCAGGTTATTACTCAACCCCTAGAAAGCACCTCTTCCTCATCCCCAACATTCACCTCTTCATCTCCTGCTGCACAACCATCTTCAATGTCAGTCCCCCCTTCCCTTATTACTACTCTTTATCCTTAATGTCCTTCCCCCAGCAGAACTACTCCACCACAAACCCCATCTTCCTCTCACCCTCGTCCTTCTACTGCCTCTACCTCTGCAAACCTTCTGAGTACTCTATTTAGCCTGAGCCAAGTGAGATCGATTCTTTGTGATTCCCCCCACAGCTCCCTATTCTGAGAATACCCTTCTCTTTCAACAGTGCCTCCAGAAACAAGTAGGCAAGGATACTTTTCGCATTCGCTCTGATCATTCATGCCTTGTTACAGTTACATCTGAAGCCCAAGCTCGTGCACTATCAACTCTAACTGACCTTATTGGCAAACCCATTCCTGCTGAACCTCAGCCATCTCTTAATACTTGTACTGGAACTGTTTCTATTTCCCCAAATGCTTGTTCCATGTATAACAAGGACTGATCTGACTGTGAAAATGACCTACTTTCCTGCCTTGGTGAATATGAAGCAGTGGCAGTACAGTGTTACACTTTTCCTCCCAGAGGCCAACATAAATCCTGCCTCAAAATTGCCAAGATTATCTTCCATAGACAAGACTTCTCCCATGAGATTTAAATCAGTGGATTGTCTTATCATATCCGACAATATCGACCCCTTCCTTGTCAGTGTCAGAAATTTTAGCGTTTTGGCCACCCAGCCAGACATTGTTGCTCCACAGCCCGCTGTCTGCTATGTGCCCAACTTGGTCATGACAGTTCAAATTGCCCTGCTCAGTCACGTACATGTGCCATTTGTGGAGACTCCCATAATGTGTTTTATATGAGCTACCCTGCCTATGACTTTGAATGTAAGGTAGCAGTCCTCAGATTTAAACTACGCCTCACTCTACGTGAGGTCAGATACTCCAATGTCTACCAATTCCCCGATACCTACCCCTCCTCACTTTAGTTGTACCAGGCAACCAAAATTTTCCACTCCAGGCTCTCCTACTACATTCTCTCCTACACCTTCCTCTTCATCTGTTCCTCAGATATCTATCTCCTCTTCTTATAAGAGAACCTTTGTTTTTCAGTCCTCTATACCTAATTCCCCTCCAGAAACCCTTGAAGACATCCAAAACTTCCTAAAGATGACCCAAGGGAACACTCTACTGCCTTATCCACCCCCCAATCCCTCTGTTCCTACTCCTGCTACATTTAAAGTATTTGCAGATATTCATCCTCCTCCTTCCCAAGTTCCCTCCACCCCTCTTCCTCCTACATCCTCCCAACATACCCCACCCTCTCTACCACTTCCACTTGAATACTCACACGAATCCTCTCTACCGCAACAGTGTCCTTCTCCAGACCCCTCCTCTCCAGACATTTTTCCTGATGCTTCACCACCTTCCCCAATCTCCCTTTCACAACCCCTGGATTCTTCTCCTACTTCTCCAACAGCCACCTCTGTTTTCCTTGATCAATGTCCCTACTACTTCCCCAGTCACAGATACACTGCAATTCACTTAGTAACTCTACCCCCTTATATCCCCCTTACCCCTTCCCAAAATACTTCATCCTCTCAACCACCCAAACCAAAACCCACTCGTAAAACCTGATTCTTTTCCACATGCTTCATCCTCTCAACCACCCATACAACCCAAACAAAACGCCCCCAAAACCCCATCCTTCCCCACTATCACTCCCACACGTGAATCTCTTTTATCACAATACCCTTCCCCAGACCCCACCATCCCTATGGATCCCCCAGACACCACTCTTTCACCTACTCCTGATCCTTTATCTCAATCCTCAGATACTTTACTTAACTCTCCTTACTCTCCTCCCGGATGCTTCTACTTTTCAGCAGCCTACTCTATTATTCCTTGAACATTTTTCCTATACTTTCCCCAGTGACAGATTCATTATAATTCATTCAATCGCCCTACCTCTTTAACCCTCCCCTTTCTACTAATTTCTGCTTTCTCCCCTTTTTTGATTTTTCACTACCATACTATCCTATAACACTCAAAAATTTGACATCCTACGCATTTCATAATAACCTTCAACTCTCCTTTGCCCTTTCCGAGACAATACTTTCCCATAGTGCTATATGTCCTTTGATGTCTAGCATATTTATTTCCAAACTTTAAACATTAAACTTGTGGTAGTACTCTTGGTATCTTGTTATATTTTTATCAGTACATTTTTATCATTTACATGAATAAGCTCAAATAGTTGTTGCAAAATTGTTTCATGGTGTCTATTATGTGTATATAAGGAAATGATAGCATTTTTAAAATCTATTTTACAGGATGAAATTGTACAGAAGGAAGTGTTGGAACTACAAGAAAAATGCTCCTCATACCCTGAATTTTAACCCATTTACAAGTGTCACCCATATGTGACATTGGAAAAATAAACATTGCTGGGTGTCCTGCCGGTGTGATGCTGGATCGGATTCCATTGTGGCCGTGGCCAGCGTGCAGGCAGATTCCAGGCCAGCCCCACGCGGCGATTTTGAAGCCGCCTGGAAACCATTATTTTTGGCTTCAAAATATACCGCTGCTAGTGGGTTAAGTTCATAGAAGAAGTCTGCTAATAGACAAAACTAGGAGTTAAAACTTTATAGCTGAAAAGACTATAGGAAATAGATTCTGCATTTTGATACACTATTTGGCTATAAACACATTTAGAAAGTAAGGTAGACAGGAATTTAAATTCTCGCCATATTCTGGCTGGCAGAATCTTCAGTCTTGAGGTTCAAGTATTCTTTTAGAAAAGGGTGAAGACTATTAGGTTGATCAAGAGAGAGAATAAGCTTCCTGTTTGAGATGTCCATTACTTTAGTACAAGAATCTGAAAATAACAAAAACACAAGTCCAGGTTGATGTAAAGACAATATGGAACTAAAAATTGTTTCAAACTATAATGTAAGCCACTGGCTAGTACATCCTTTATCAGGCATATGTACATGCTTTTAAGTTAATTGTTTTGTGAGTTGTTTCAACCATAGTGTCTGTGATGTTATTATATAGGATATTCTTTCTGTTTTAGATACAAGTTGTAACAAAAAAAGATCTTTAATGATAAGAGTAACTATATGAATAGGTATATTCTGTAAGCATTTGATTCTGTCAGTCCATAGGGGTATGTTTGTTGTTGTTTTTTCCTTCATTGTTAAGCGTGTGAAGTGAGTGAATGATTGTGTGAGTGAGTGAGATGGAGAATTAGGTGACACATTCAGAATCTACTTAGCTTGACATACTGACTAATAGACTGATAGAGATAGAGAGGAAGAGAACAAGAAAAAGAAAAGAGATTAAAACATGAAAATGATGAGTAATTAATTGTATATGATACTGTCACTGTACTCTTTACAGGCAGATTCACTAGCTAATCAGGTCTCTTGCTGTCTACTAACGGTCTACATGCTTGTATATCAATAAAAGTGCTATGTATAAGTGATGTACACATACTTTAAAGATTTTATCTCATACGGATTCTATTACAGAGTGAATATTTATATGTATTTATTTTTGATGGGGGTTGTGTATTTCCTTGGTTGTGTTTTGTTAATTAAATTACTTACATCTTCTCTTGTTTGCTATTGTAACAACTGAAGAAAAGAATAGTTATCTTGTATTACACTAAGCCACAGTTAACCTTTTTGTAAAGAATGAGGGTAAAATAAGTAGATAAAAAAATAAAAATAAAGGCAATTGAATGAATAAGTTGAGGTTTAATAGTCAATCTGATATTTAAGAAAAGATGCCATGTTTGACATATCCTCAGAAATATATAGATTTACCAACAAGGGAGAATAGAAACCACTAAGTAAATAGATATAAGAAGAGTTGTGTATATACAGGAGATAATCACTCTGTACAGTAATATTTTATGGTTTGCTACTTCAAATGTGGTTGGATATTGGTCTACATTAAGACCATCTTTACAATAGGGCTGCCCCATTGCATGGGAAAATGCAGGTAAAAACAATGGAGTGAGATATAAAAAAAAATATTCATACATACAGATATTTCAGAAAATTTCCACAAGTAGAGTAATTAATTCTTTAGTGTTAGGATAGCAGAATGGTATGAAGTTTGTTATTTAATGGCAAAATATAGTATGGTATTGGTATCATCAACCTTCCATATAATTTTATATTTTAGAAGTATTAGTTTTATTTGGTTCAGAGTTTTCTTATAGAGATTATTTGTAAATGATGAATCTGCAGGGTCATTATAAAAACTTGATGCATAACTATAGATATTTATCATGTTTTATATAAATGCTAAAAAAAACAGATTCAGTCATTATTTGTAAACCTTTTTTATTGGACCAAGTTAAGGTTCTTTATAAAAAATGTTTATGGAAAAACCTTTATCAAAACTGTGTAAACCACTTCACAACTCACTTTTACTTATTTGTATTGTTATTACTTTTGCTTATTATTTATATG